TTTTATTTATCCAGGAACTCAGTGAAAACTTGGTTCCATGGAACCTAAAGCCCATCCAAAGGAGCTCAAGTGAGTGGCAGTGCTCTTTTTTTTGTGTAGAAGCCAAGTTCTAATCACTTATTAGAGGCGATTTAATAATCCCCACTAACAGCTCCTCCTGAAAATTCTGGCTGGTAAATCCCATGAGGAAAATACATTAAACTTGAACTAAAAGCCTGTTTAAATTGAAGTACAATTTCCTCTGGAGGCCCCTTTTCCAGCAAGGCTGGGTTTCTAACACAGCAGCCAAAGCCACGAGCTGAACACCAACATTCTGCCAGCTCAGGAGAAGGGAATTCAAACATGAATACTCCTTGCTCAACTTTTTAATTGTATTGGCTTTTTAATCTTTCTGTGCTAATACTGAAGCATTTATACAGACCTATGTGATTACACACTTAGCTTTCTCATTATTTTCCAGTGAGCAATAATTGCAGGAGCTCTGGTTAAAAGGGAACTCAGTAATTACACTGATGACTTGGTGAATTTGAAGAGACTGTAGCAAACTATATATTGTGATGGGGGTTTTTAGATTTTACAGTTAATTTTACATTAATCACAAAGGGAAATGATGGAATTACAAATTGATGGTGTCGAGAAGCAGTTTGATATAAAATATTAGTAAAATAAAAACTGTATTAATTTGTTATGATACATTGCAAAGAAAAATAACCAAAATCTACAGTCCTATAAAGAAACATCCCTTAATAAATGGGTACAAGCTGCATAAAAGGAGAAGTAATGACTTGGTTAAAGCTCAGAGGGAAACAATGCCAAAGTCACGCACCTTGAATGAAGAATGAGTAGATGGATCTGATAAATGGTGCTTTTTTTTAGAGGAAACCTCTGTTTGGAGTGCAAGTCACTCCAGCTAATGGCTAAGTGATGTGCATTGACAATCACATTAGCCCTTTTTGCTATTTTAGTCAAATAAGGCTAATCATTTAGCGTGCCTAATTTATATAGCCATGAGGGCGGGTTATCAGTACAGATGTACCGAGGCATAAAAGACTTGGGAGCACTGACCTATCTGTCAAATTTGATCAGGCCCAGTGAAATTCAATTTGTTAATCTTGCCTCACAAGCCTCCCTCATGCTAATAGGTTTTGTGCTGCACTGAGAATGAGCACAGGCTGCAGTGAGACTTCTTGGCTGGGTTCATCAGAATCACACAGGAGAGATGCTACCTCCTGGAGCAAGGGGTAGTGTTACTTTTAGAAATATTTTATGAAAAATCCTTTTGGTAGGATCTTTTCTCCTGAGAAGCTGGGAAGCTTCAGCTTCTCCATGTTTTGCTGCTTTGGAATGTGGATCTGGAGATTCGTTTACCCATAATGTGAAATTGTTTTTACTTGATGACCAATGGCAGCCACCTGTGTCGAGGCTGTGAGCAGTCACAAGATTTTGTTATCATTCCTTCTATTCCTTGCTAACCTTCTGATTAAATCCTTTCTATTCTTTACTATAGTTTTAATATATCATTTTCTTTAATATAATATATCATAAAATAATCAATCAGCCTTCTGAAAGATGGAGTCAAGATTCTCATCTCTTCCCTCATCCTGGGACCCCTGTGAACACCACCACAGGGTAGGACTTCTAGAATTGGAAGGCTAAAAGTGCAGATCTGCAAATACTTGTGATATATATTTGCATATACCCAGTTCTTACCCTAAATGGCCACAATTCAATGTTTTATTGATTATAAGAATAATAATTTATTTTTAATAAAAGAAACAAGGGCTGATTAAAGAGATAGGATGCTCCCTTTTGCATGTGTACATATACATTTATACTCAAGCTTCAAAAGTTAATATACATCTCTGGACTTCCCAAGTCTCTAAAATGGGAGTAATGCTAACTTTGTGCCTAAAGATGAAGTTTCTGAGGCCAACAGAAGTGTGTACTCACTCAGGCCTCATTGCAAAATAAAATGTCTTTTTTATCAGCTACCTAAATTTACTTAGGTAAACTTAGGTCTTTGAATCCTGGAGATGTCCATAGATTCTGGATACAGTGAATTGAAATAGCACAAACTCTTAAAAATGACTTTTTGCTTTTTTCTGTCAACTCCAAGAACAGCTACATTTGTACAGATGATTTTTCCCATGTTTGAAGCTCTACCTGGATGGGATGTTTGACAACAAACCCAAATGTTTTCTGCATCAAAAACAATACTCAAATAATTTTGGCTTGGCAATTTGATCTTACCAATATGACAGCTGAACCTGTTTTTAAAGTGAACTTGGAGAATCATTATCTGGACACAATTCCCCAATTCTCCACTGATTGGAGGCTTATCAGCTGTTGCAGACCGTGGAATGACATACAGTGTTTTAATTCTTGATAATTGCCTAATTTCATATGCGTATTGTGTGATTGTGTATATTGTTTGAATAATTCTTAACTGCTGTCAGCTTCTTCTTTACTCCATGCACTGTTTTGCTCTGATGTTCCTCCATGCTTGTAATCAAAGGAAGTTAGAAAGTTTCAGCACAGCATTACAGTCATCCTTTCAAATGAGTTTTCTGCCCTCTATTTTTTCTCACCGCCACACAGGACAAGAGACCATTCCTGTTTCCCAGTCCCTGCCCAAATTGCCTACAGAAGCTTACTGGATTGAATTAGGGAGAGTCAAACTCAAAATTACCATTCTGTGCCTCAGTTTCAGACAAATTGGGATAACAGCTGTATCCAAGTATAGACTCCAGCAGATCTGCTTGGTCCTTCAGTCATGCCTGAATATTCAAGAAATTGTTCTGGAACACACAGAACATTGGCTAGAGGAGAATGACAACAGACTTAACCTGTTGTCATTAAAAAGTTTTACCTATTCCTGGCAAGAGAAAATAATAAAGAAGTAGGTCAACAACCTTTCCAAACAATTGAGTTTTTCCCCTAAGTATAGGAACAAATCAATATGTTTCTTTGTTAGTACAGGCAGATATAACACTGAAATAATATGGGAGCCTCATTAACATCCATGAGGCTTGACATATGCCCTGTCTGGGAAATTATTTTGCTTCTTCTCCCATTAGATATTTTATAAAAGCCTGTTCTCAATGTTATGATGCCTATCAGTGGACATCAGACTGAAAATATAAGCAATGCAAAGTCACAAAGTCAACTCTCCTGGAATGGTTGCTCATGACCACTGCGGAAATAAACCCACTGGAGTTTATTTATGCCTGAATCTTTTTACTTTACCAGCACAGAACAGCTGTGATCAGCTGATTTCCAGGGAACAGTTCTTCCAACATCTGCATTAGAGTTCTACACCACCACGACAGCCAAGTGATGGGGGTAAAAGTGATGTCATTTGAAAGCCTGGGAAAATTTAATTTTATTCCTTATTTATCAAGATTAAACCCTGAAATGGTATGGCACAAACAGAGAATCTGAAAAAGGGGCAGGGGAAAAGAATATTAAAATCAACCAACCAACCTCTGAACCAAAAGAAAAGCTGTCTTCTGGCCTCAATTATTTTTCTGACGCAAAACTTAGGAAAAAAAATTATTTTCTTAGGCTGCCACACATTGCTATTTAATCAGTTCTGCCACATATTAGGAGGTTATCTTTCCATACCATGAAAAAACACCCAGCACTAAACACCTATTGCCATAGCCTCACGACTTACAGCTCCTGGAAAAAAAAAACAAGGCTCTAATCTGAAAATCAATTTAAATAGAGTGACTCTTTGAAAAAGAGCCACTCTATTTAAATTGCTTTTTCTGAAGAGGGGAACCACCAGTGCATCCATGATGTCCCCAGCGAGTGCAGAACTGGGTATAAATCACCACACAAGAGAGACACTGAGTTCCATTTGTGTGCAGGTGATTTCTGAGCACAGCTCCCATGGCATCCCAGTGGCCAAAAAGTATTGCAGTTCTCTGGTTTATGAGTTATGGTTTGGGACTTGCTTTTCTTATTCTTTCCTTATACATCTGAGGTAAGGTCAATGCTTCCCTGTCTATGGTGTTTGGTTAGGTGTGAGAAAATAAGATCCCAGTGAACTTCTGTTGGTTAAAATCTTGTTAGAACAAGGTTTTGCACTCAGGACAGGGAAATATATGTGTGATTTTTCCTCTTTGCCTAGAAATTTTTCCACCAGTGTGAAAAGTGACTTCAGTTATATCGATCCCCAATTCATATTTACAGTTCTGTGTATCTCTGCAGTCTTGCACATATAGAATAAAGACTCATATGAAGATGCAAAAAACAAACCAAACCCTAGTGATTGTTTAAGCTAAAAAAACCTGGATAGTGATGTAGCCTGATGGTGGCATTTAAAGCCCCATATCAGTCTCTGGCCAGAAAGCTTTCCTAGAAGAGTTGCATTGCCATTGTCAGTCAATGCCATTGACTCCATCACCAGGGAAGAAGGCTCAGCTTGGGTGAGCCCATAAATCCCTATTTAGATTCATAAAGCTTTAGTGGATTCTTCCCCATTGTGCACAAGTGAGATCATGGCCCTACCCTGACACTCCTTTAAGGAGCTCCTGCTGCATGGTGTGTGAGCACAAACCCCAGGGCATAATGAAAGTTATGGATATTTTTGTTTTTACATGTTTTTATATATCTCTATGTGCAGGTGTTTGATGCAGTTACGTATTATGCAGCTAGCCAGAAGACTTGGTGAAAACTTTTTAAACTCATATTGAAATACAAAGCTAACATTTGGATGTTGCCACATGGCTGAGGATGTGTTTAAGTTAGCACAGAGCATTAAAGCAAAGTAAACCTCTCTTACTTCAACGTTCACCTGTCTGAGGGGAAATTTTGGGGTTTATTTTACTTCCTTTATTTTGCTTTCAGCTTTCTCCACACAGCTACTGAACCAGAGTGTTAATAGTGAAATCTGCATGTCAGAGAACCTGATAAATTGGGAATGATTATTAAAAAGCAAACCAGACATAGTTAAATCTCAAGACAGTGTGGTGCAAAACAGTGCACTGTTGTACCTGCAATGATGTCATCCATTTGCTCCAAAGCTGCTTCCAGCATATGACTGGCATCAGAAGCCATCCTCTGGGATTTCTTCAGATCTTTCCTCCCTCTACTGAAAAGAGAGAATAAACCATATGTGTTACACTGAATAGCCTGATGGCAAAATATATGTCTCTGTCACATTATGCATTGGGCTGCACAAACAAAATCCATGCTACAGCTCAGTCATATAGCCTAGTGACACAAAAATACAGCCCAATAATAAGAAAACTAAAAAAAAATTCCTGCTCTTGATAGATGACTTGGGAGTTCTGATTCATTTTTTTAAAGAGATTTTACTAAAAGAGTCAAATGCAAATAAAAAAATCTCAAAGAATTTCAAATACTGGAAGCCCAAGATTCTCCTGCTCCTCATTCTTAACAATGGTTTCCTAGATTCAAAGTTCAATGCATTTCAGCCTTTTCCTGTGTGGGGAAAAAAAGAAGATTGACTAAGGTTCAATGAAGGAATGAAGACATGGGGCAGGACATGTTTTTCCTACAAGCAGAAATCTGAAGAAAGTCTGCTTTTTGATTTCTGAGAGTAAAGAAAATTCTGAAATAATTTTTACTCCACCTTTCTATATTCCCATTCAGTCTTTTCGTCATCTCTTCCACGACACCAAAAAATCCCATTTTTTCTGTTCAAACAACCAAAATGCCCCAGGTATGAGTTCTCTGAATTTACTGCTGCTACTATAAAACAGGATTAAATACATTCATGTTACCACCTGGCACTGGGGATAACAAAATAAAAAGAGAAAAACCTTCCAGAATGAGTCCCTGCTTGTGAGCTGGTGCTGCTGGACTCTAATGGTGTAAATGCAACGGCCCCATGATTCCAATGCTACTGAAATGCCACAAATATGTGTTTATCATGGGATTACTCCTGCTAAGAATTCAAGTAGTTTGAATTGAAATAAATGTTACAATGAACATTTGTACCATCCAATCAAAATTATTTTCTTTTGAAAACTAAGAATCCTCAGACATGGGTTTTTCTCAAAGAATTGGGTTTCTTCTTCAAAGAAAGCAAATTTATTAAGAACCTCTGTGTTATCAGCATCCTATGTTGATTCCTGTTAATGCAGATAAGCCCAGGACCCAGAGAGACAGAAGCAGGAATGAGTCAGGAACTGTAGAATTCTCATTTGAACTCTGCCATTTACAGCTTGTCACAGTGGGTAAGCCACGATTTAACTTCACATCACATTGATCTGAAGAGCAACGTGAGAATGCCTCATCCTCACCGTCACCCAAGGCTCAGATTAATGGAAATGAATCCGTGGCTTTTGGTCCCTCAGTTTTTTTTCTTTTTGTCAAAACAATGTCTTGAGTACAAGCGATGCTAAATTTAACCAAAGTACACGTCACCCAAATATTTCGTTTAATGGCACTGGAAATCACATAAACTGTGCTCAGAATAATCTGGAAAGTCATTAAGTCAGCTGATATAAAGTTAAAATTTCAGAGTGATTTCTTTCACACGTGAACTTTGCAGACACTCCTCCTGATCCTGCTGCTCCCGCTTGCTGGTTTTTGGGAGACCTCCATCTCCTGTTGACACACCACAGGCCACCAAAGCCCTCCCAGCTGTTCCTGGCAGCATTTCCTCTAGTTCAAAGCAGCCATCCCACGGGGAATGATCACCCCAGTGACAGGAAATCCACCTGCAGGTGGCCAGCAGGTGCCAGAGGGGCACCCAGGCTCCGGCGCCACTGCCCCAGGAATGCATGGGGAAACCAGGGCAGCAGATCTCTGGCTCAGAGCCAGAGGGCAGAAAAAGGCTGAAATGTGCTGAATGTAGCATAGAATTTCTAATTCTAGGCTGCACTTCATGGTTTTATTTGTGATAAAAGCAGCACGCCACCGGAGCAGCGCGTGGCTGTTCGAACGAGGAATGCAGGGCTACATTTCTTGTTAACATCTGAGGTAGTGTTTCCTCACTCGTGGTGACAAAGGCACAGGAAATGCTGACACACTGCATTACAAACTTGAAAATTCACTGATGGGAAAATGTCCCATCAAAGCCTTGTCAAAACCCAGAGAGTTTTGCTGAAAAACTCCACCAGAAGTGAACCTCCAATCTCCTCCACAGCCTGTTTTCTCACCTGCACCCACTGAGGCTTTGCTGCCTAACTGCATTAAGCCATAGCAAAACCTGCTGATCAAACAAGGATTTATTAATAAAAGCAATGTTCTTTGCTCCAGAGAGATAATGTAATATTACTTGCTTGACATCTTTTTCTAGACAGACCTGTTGTGCGCGCTCCAGGCAAGTCTCACTTTCCCAGACACTCCCTCCTTACAGTTTGGCTGCTCTGAGTATTATGAAAAGAGCTTGTTAGATCTCCTGGGCTTTCAGCCACCATTTCTGATCTATTTCTATAGAAATATCTTTAACTATGGATTTAAAAAAAAATACTATTAAATAACAAGACACTTGTAATAGCCCCTCAAAGAGGATCCATCTGTTTGCTGGTATTTTAATTACAAATATTTTTTTACAGTTTTCATTCCTGAATGACATCAACATATGCATGACTTATTTACTTATGTAAATATATACCTATATTTAAAAGCAACCTCTCACATTACAGTGCAAGCTCCAATATTGGCAAATTCTAACCCTCAGGATTTATTAGATTAATTCATATGCCAGCAAAATACAAGAACCAGACTACTTACCTTTTCAGGTCTCTAGGAAGAAAAGAATTTACTTTTTTGCCTGACCAGTGAAAATTCCTTGCTATTAATAGCTGAAGTTTTACTGTTAAGCAGACATAAGTCTAAATTATTATCATCCCTTCTAAGCCACATACTCATATTAATTTAGAGCCCAGCCCACAGGGATATTGCAACCCTGTTTGTTATAATTGCCCAAGTAATGACATCTTCCAGGAAGTGCAGACAGAGCAAACTGGTCTGAATTCCTGAAATTTATTTTGCTAAGATAGCTTTGCACTGTACATCCTAATCTGAGATTTGCATTCCAAATAAAATGAAAAATCTCTGGCAGAGCTATAGTGCTCAGAGCCAATATCCCTTGCAATTTTCTTAGCCTACATTCTCTATGTAAAACTACAATTAACTGTGTCCAAAGGAACATAATATTTAACAGACATCTTCACTGTGAGCAAGATGTTCTTCAGAACGATGAAAAGCCTTAATTAAATTAGAATCTTTCATGGCTGGCTTGAACCAGCAGCTGCTCAGAGATAAGAATATGAACAACATGAACTCCTGCAACTCGGATGTTTTCCCAAGGTTGCTCATATCAGTGAGGTTATCAGCTTTATCAATTACAAGGGGTGTGCTTTTTGGTAGAAACTCCAGAAATCCAGACCTTCTCTGTGGCCCACAAATCCCTCTCACATTTAGCTGACACACATAACAATTAACCACCAGCACCTTTTTATTCCTAGGATGAATAAGTACATGCTTGTAAACTCTTTAAACACTCAGATCTGAGTATTACACTGCTTTGCACTCAATGGCATAATGAAATATCAAGTGCCTTGGTTAAGCTCAGAAGTCCTCCAAGCTTTCCTTCAGCTGCAAGATGACTCCTGCCCTGGAATGCAGAAACCTGCCCAGCTCCCACCCTTTTTTCCCCTTTCTTTTCTCCCAGCCAGGAGCACAGCCATTGATTCATCCCTCCAACCCATGGCTCCATCAGGTACAAAAGTTATAAATTTACAAAAAAAAAAACAAAAAAAAACCAAGCTTATTTTGAACTGGAAAGTGTGAAGTGCCCACAGAGAGGCAGAATGGGCAGCTCTAAAGAGAAATATCAATTAGCCAAAGTTGAACAAAGAGCTAATAGCAAATCATTTCAGAACTGCTAAAGTCTCTATTCAACAAGCTGCTGGGGATCCTTATAGGAGGGGGTATCCTGAAGTGAAGCACCTTGGCACTGTAAAAGCCATATTTGTGTGTTACTGATGAAAGTCCGAGCAACAAGCCAAAAGCAATAATGCTCTTGCACATGATGTGCTGAATAATTTGATTTAAAATACACAGCTAAACTCACTGCACTATGAAGCGGCCAAGTCAAAACCAGACATCTCTTTTCAAAAATAAACCCATTAAGTTTGCTAATACAAGCCTGAATTTCGATTCCGAGGGGGGAACAGAAGGCAAAGGAAAAAATAAAGCTCCCTTTAAAAAAAAATGCTAGATCTGACTGACTGATACTTGATGCTTCAAAACACAGATCACCTCACAGCAGCTCCTCCCCAGGGCTGATGGATATTGAGTTACAGCTCCTCCTGGTACCATAACCAAATTTCCTGACTCATGTTTGCACAAAGTCTCATCCTTACAATTAAGAGCTGACGCTGGCAGAATGGCATGTGCAAAGTGAGCTCTCTCCAGCCCCTCTCTGTAACACTTCCAGCCACTGCAGGAAGCCCTTCAGCCCTCAGTGCTGCTTTAAACCTTGTCCATGAAAGCTTAAAAAGGCCCTTCATCGTTTATTTTCATGTTGTCAGATATCTGAAGTTTTCTGTGCTACACGCAGTATAAAGGAAAAATGGTATAGCTTCTGACTTTGCAAATCTTAAGATCACAATTGCATTAAATGTTACTGTATAAAGCCCAAAAAGTCTAATTATTTTAGTTAACTTTTCTGTCATCTGATTAGTTAAAATAAAAATTAAAAAAAAAAAAGGTAACACAATGAGCAAATAGTTTGGATATAAACTTCAGCTGAACAAAACGCTACCTGATAAAATACACAAGAAGAAAGTCTCTGAGCCAAAATATGAAAAAGTTCAAAAAGTCTAATTACTTTAGTTCACTTTTCTGTCACCTATTTAGTTAAAATTAAAAAAAAAAAAAAACAGCAACACAATGAATAAATAGTTTGGATATAAACTTCAGCTGAACCTGATAAAATACATGAGAGAAAAGCCAAAATATGAACATTTCTGCTCTTAAAATAAACACATACAAAAGTCGGATTTGGTATTGCAGTTCATATCTAGTTCAGAGAGTTTTGCAACTAAGAAAATTCAGATCCTTAAAATTTCAACATTTAAAATAAACTGTGGGGTTTTTTAATTATTTTTC